GAAGTGAAACTTTTGAAATATTAACGAAGCAACCATAAACATTCCGTGTCGAAACTGTAAATATCAAAGTGATTGCAACCTTCACAAAGCACGAGTCCCTTTAAATTCTCCAATTCTTTGGTTCAACCACGTGTTCGAAAATTCTCAAATCTGCGTCAGCGGAAACGGTGAATCCGGAAAAGTGTCGCGTTGCCCGTGGTCGTGCTCTTTCAGATATTACACCACTGATCGTTTCATCTTGCAACCAGGGTGAAAGGACCAGGGGGGAGGTCGGTAATTTCGTGCGAAAGGGCTCGAAACCCGAAGAAATTGAATTACCGCCACCTGACGTGTCCATCGTGATCGAGGCTACGGCGAAATCCGTAGATCCCTCCTGGGGCCGTTAAGCGACGCATTACTGCCTCGTGGATTCCTCCATCGAGCGAATAATTACCGGGCTGCCGGGAAAAGCGGCACAGGAACCTCTGGTTTCGAGCTTTTGCGAGGGTGGTGATATTTACATCCTGAAAGTTGAATGTAGAGCGAAGAAATGGCTAGCCACAGTTGTTGGAACGCGTTTGATGATTTATTTGTTGAATTCTAATCTTTTTTCTTGAGTCAGTGGTAGCAAAAATTCGATTAATATTTTTGAAATGTTTGACATTCTTTAAAAATTCGAAATTTTTCCATTTCCACAATTCTCTGGATTTCTGAATGTCATTAATATAAACGGATTTTCCACATTTTCACTAATTTCTAGGAATCTCCATTTTCCAAATATTGAGAATTTTCCTGATCTTCAAAACTCTCCACAATTTTCCAGGCATCCCAATTTCTCAGATTTTCCAAGCCCGCCCAATTTCCCTAATTGTCCGAACACTCCACGTTTCCTCATTTTTCCAGGGATCTCAATTTCACAGACATTCTAAACTCTCCAAATTTTCCTAAGCTTCCAGACTTTCCGCGTGTTCAAAATTTTACAAGCAACCCAATTTCCCAGATTTTCCAAGCCCTCCGAATTTTTCTAATGTTCCAAACTCACCATATTCTCACAATTTTCCAGGCATTCCAATTTCCCAGACGTTCCAAGCCCTCCCAATTTTCCTAATTGTCCAAACACTCCACGTTTTCTCAATTTTCCAGGCATCTCAATTTCACAAACATTCTAAGCTCTCCAAATTTTCCTAAGCTTCCAGATTTTCCCTGTTTTCAAAATTTTCCAGGCATCCCAGTTCCCTAGATTTTCCAGGTCTTCCCGAATTTCCTCATCTTCCGAACTTTCCGCATTTTCAAAATTTTCCAAGCATCCTAATTTCCCAGATTTTCCAAACTCCCCCAATGTTCCTTATGCTCGAAACATTCCAAAAATAGAATCTGACCATCGTAGAATTGAATACTACGCTATAACTATACCAAAAGTTCGCCGATGTTCGTGATTCAGAGGACTAATCATTCCCCGTCGTTTCTGCTTCCAGAAGATGGGCTCGGTGCACGGCGAGGACTTACCGTTCGTCTTTGGCGCTCCGTTGGTCGACGGTTTCGGCCACTTCCCAAGAAACTACACCAGGCCTGAAGTGGCACTCTCCGAAAGCATCGTGCAGTACTTCGCCAACTTCGTCAGAACTGGGTGAGTAGAGAACGATCTTGATCCGTTGTTAAGACCTCCTCTCTCCTACCCACTGATCCGTCCCTTTTATTTTTTTTCCCCCTGGTAGAATCTTAGAACCAGTTACCCAAGAACGCTCTGCGTCCTTTTCATCATGGTCCTTCTATTTGAAGACGAGGTAAAAGATCGTCTTGCAAGAAGAGAGTCCGATAAGAATTCAGTAGAACATTGAAAAGCGGTATGGAGCGGACTTTCTGCTCTCGAAGTATTAAACTTGAGAATATTTAGTTCAAGTTACGTACATAATTTCAATAGGTCTATTTTCCTTCGAGGAGGATAAAAATCGTTGGAAGGGATCAAGGACAAAAGTGACAGATTTTCTCGAATTTCACTAAAAATCTCTCGTTACCATCTATCTTACTGCAATAATTCTTACATGAAGTACGGTAAATTTTCTGCTCCGAAAATGTACTTCAACTCGCGAATTTCCAAACTCCAATAGTCCTCGAAAGAATGAAAATTCTGCAGAAGCAAAAATACGAGCAGGCGTTATCGAAGTAACAGTTCAAACATCGTACAATCCCCACACTTCGATTCAAATTTCGCGGCGAACCTCCTTTTTCCAAGCATCCTCCTACACGAATCCATTCGGCAACGTCTACTTTAGCTGCCTAGCAGGATTCCATGAAGTTCAATTTTCATCGCGGAGAACTTGATGCAAAAGCAATCCTTTTCCCCGTCCCGTTTGAATCAACAGCGACGTGGCACCACTTGCGCGGAATCAATTTGCGAACGGCGACCAACGAAAAAAGGAGAAACGGGTGGGGAAAAGGGGTAGACGCGGATCGCGTCACCGAAAGGTCTAATTTTCCATATTCATGAAGCAGGACGGGGTGAAAAAAAAAGGAGCGCGTTGCATAGTGGACGGCGAAAGAGAGGGAACAGACGGGGTTCAAGGATTAGAGAGAAAATATTTTTCGAATCGGATCGCGACGCCCGCGCCAAATTTCTGATCGGACTCACGGTATTCAAATTTACGGATTACCAGTGAACGTGGCAAGCCCTTTACTCCTGCCGAACCATTCGAGCGATATTTCTCTCTTTTTTCAAACCAGAAATTAAGTACAAGGTATTTTCAAAGTGGCCTTTTGAAGTTTGGCGCACGTTTGGAAACACTTGTGGGAAAATTGGGAGAAAGGTTTGTTTCATCTGCTCTACGGTAGCAGAGAAAAATTGGTTAGTATTCAGGTTGCACGATAGAATGATCGAGTTACAATTACTCGGGAAAATATTCGAACAACATGCAAGCTTGTCTCTCTAGCGATGTACGCTACCGTTCGTAACTATTAGGACGCTAATTGAATGTGAAGCAAACTTAACCCTTTCGCGGACAAGACGGCTATGACCGTCGTTTTGTCGATCGTCTATTGGGACAAGACGGTCATAGCTGTCGATTCTCCATATAATGGCAAGATGTCTGTGACCGTCTTGAATACACACAAATGTATCTTACCAAGAATATAGAAACAAACATACGATTATTGTGATCTGTTTTTGTTTTTTTGGTGAGAAATATGTAGAGAAACAAGAGATTGGCAGTCAGAATTATACCTCTCTGCGGGAATGAGTCCAGATTATTTTCATAGTTAGAGAAATAGTTTGTTTAAATTCTTAGCATAATATTTAGTGTAGTTTAGTGTAGTTAGGAATTTTAAGTTCAATATAATAATGAATCGTACTAAACGAAGACGGATTATATATGAAAATGAGACAGATGAGGAAGAAATATTTGATATATCCGAAGCTTCCAGTGACAGTGATGAGAGTTACTATCCTGATAACATTGAAAGGAGTGCAGAAGAAGTATCAGAAATAAAAAGTACTATGGATATTTCTATTGAAACTGACGTCGCTAACGAGGGAAACAATGAAATACAGAACGCTAAAGAGTGGGTCGAAGAAACGAGGGAAGTTCCAGATTTTAATTTTAATGTAAATTTATCAGGAGTGAAAATTGATTTTTTGGAAGGTATAACACCTGTTAATGTTTTTAAAACGCTTTGGAACGAGGATGTAATGAATTTAATTTTAAATTCCTCTAACAATTATGGGAACAGACTTGCCACACAGGATCTACCTTCTCCAAAATATAGTAGGAAAAGTCGTTGGAAAACCCTCGATGCTACAGAATTGTGGAAATTTTTGGGTCTTTGTCTTTTACAAGGGCAAGTGAAATTTCCGTCAGTAAGACGAATGTTTTCTTATGACCCACTCTATTATCATCCTGTTTTTTCTGCAACAATGTCGGGAAGGCGATTCGAACAAATTTTACGTTGTTTGAGTTGTGAAACGGAGGATGTAATTGAAGATCGCTTGAATAAAATAATACCGTTACTCAATTTGTTAGTGGCAAATTTTCAGACTGTCCTGTATCCTGATGAAAACCTATCCTTAGATGAATCATTATTATTATTCAAGGGTAGGTTGTGCTTTCGGCAATACATGAAAAGTAAAAAGGCCAAATATGGAATAAAATTTTTTGAGTTGTGTACCCCAGACGGCTACGTTTTGAATATCGAAATATATAAGGGTAAAACTAATATAGAAACAAATGTTCCGAAAATACAATCTTTAGTTCTCCGCCTACTTGATCCATATTTATATGAAGGACATCATGTATTTATGGATAATTTTTATAATTCTGTAGAATTATGCAACCGACTTTTAGAGAAACGAACTCACTGTACGGGCACCCTTCGTGCTGATAGACGACAGAATCCAAGAGAAATTACAGGGAGGAAATTAAAAAAAGGTGAACATATATGGAAATGAAAAGGCCAAGTATATGTATCAAAGTGGAAAGATAAGAGGGAAGTCTGCAGCATAACTACACGTTACCACCCAGTACAGATAGAAACGACTAATAGATTCAACCAAACCAAAGTAAAGCTAAAAGATCTTGCAAAATATAATACTTATATGGGTGGACCAAGTAATTTCTTATTATTCATGTCCGAGAAAATCTATTCGCTGGTACAAAAAAATAATATTCCACTTGCTAGATGTAACAGTTTCAAATGCATACTATATATATCGTAAAAAAAATGAAAGAGAGACAAGAAAACTGTATTGATAGATTAGATTTTAGAAATTTTCTAATAAGATATTTTATCGGTATACCAGCTGATCACTCTGATGGTCGAAAGTTTGTAAAAATGGGATCGAGACACGGAGGCAAACGCAAAAGAGCTACTGTAGAAAATCAAGAGGAAGTAAGCCAATCCCACTTTCAGGACACCCAGGGCTTAGCGGACCTTAGGCATCCTGAGCTTCGAACACAGCATCGCTGCGGCCCAGTCTGGGAACGTACGGAACCAAAACGGGGCGAAAGGCCCCCATGCGGCCCGGGAACTCAGGCTGATCAGTCTTATGCAGCACCGGTAACTCTTTAGGACTGCCACCAAACTACCCTTTTTCCCCATCATCTCCTTATTCCATCCCATCCACTACCTTTCCTTACTTTTCCTTTCACCTGTAACGGGGTCAGAGCGCAGTACTTGCGTATACTGGTGAGTTCGCCTTCCGGTGGTTCCCCGTGGATGCGGTGGCAGTCGACGTCGGGGTATTTGCCCGGTTTGACTGGCAACGTAACTAAAGGGCTCATCCGCTGAAAACGCTCAGCGGCGTGGCTGGATTTTTCCATCGCCCGTCTCGGGGCAGTGACTAGCCGGGGATAAGACAGAATCTGCTGCATGGAAGTATAAGACGCAATGTCTGGGGAATTCCAAATGCCTCTCGGGGCGGCAAACACCTACGTGTCGTAGGTGGTGGAAGTGTGTGGTGATTGGTGTTTCAGGATGCTTGAGGGGTGTCTGTCTGGTGGTGTGGAAGTGGGGAGGGTTGTTAGATTTGTTATATTACTAGGATTACTGGTGTCGAGGGTCTGGTTTATTGTCTTGGCGCATGTGGTGTTCAGGTGTGCGAGTCTTCGAGATTTTTAGCGTAATAAAGTACTTCATGAGTCATGCCGGCTAAGACTGCTTTGTTCAAGTACCGTTTCCTACAGAAAAAGGACGATGTATTGTTCGGTCGTTGGTACGAGCGAACAGGAAACATTGAATAAAATATTGAAAAATAAAAAAATATTGGTTGTACAAGGGTGATATGAAGTGTTGGTAGAAATAACATGATATAAGTGATTGTTTATGAGTCATCGTGTGGTGAAAGATGTATCTGAGGAGGAAATAGTAAGTCCGTCGAGTACATGTAGTCAGAAAGCAAAAATTATACACGAGGTCTCGGTGGCGTAATGGATAGTGTCGTTGAATACCACCGAGACTACTCGAGTTCGAGACTCCTTTCGGTCGCACTTTTTTCTGAATCGTATAATTAATTGAAACTGATTTTCTTGTGATATTTTATCCCCTACAACATGTTTAACATATAAATGAACAGTAATTGAAAGGTTTCAAAAAGATATTTCAAATAATTTCTAATGGTAAAATAATTCTCGATACGTGAATAATTCAATTGATGTGTAGAATATGATATTAACACTTTACCGACCGGTAGCGGTTGAACATTCTACGCACTTTCGACCGGTCACTCAGCCACAGATACATCGGTGACACACCGGCTCTGTTTAGACTCTAAGCTATTGCGCGGGAATATACGCGCTTTTTCTTATACCTGTAGAAATGTTAAATCAAACTTTGACCGGTTAATAGGCTATCGGTCGGTAAGCGTCGGCGAAAAAAAAAGTGGATTGATAGGCTACCGGTCGGTAAGCGTTGGCGGCAGAAAGCCGATTAATAGGCTACCGGTCGGTAAAGTGTTAAAATGTAATTAACAACGATTGTATTTAGCGAAATAAATATGTGAAAAATATTCTCTGGGGTAAAGAAAAACGTTGATCGAACACAACAAAAACCAGTGTAGTACTAAAAATGTTTAAACGTTTAAAAAATGTTAATAAACAAACGGTTTAACGTAATGAAAAGCTAATGAAAACATCCACTAAGCTGTTTGTATATGGAAGAGCCACTGTATGTGCGTCGCAGCGTCGACGGTTTATTGGCGACGATTAAACGACGCGGAGGAACTTCACTCGTTGAAGTCCCAGTCGAAGGTGTAGAAAGTGGACTGTATTTGTTTATCGAGTGATATGAAATGTATTTTGTGAATGCACCAAGGGTACAGTTGTGTCTATGGTTGCGATGTGAATCCATGTATGGTAAGCTACGAAGTATCTCCTTGAGTGTTCGACTACGAAGTCTCCTTAAAATGTAAGTAACCCCCTTTTTCCTGCCCTTCTCAGAGCGGGGGTGAGGGCACTAAGTATGGGAGGGGGTTTCTCGAAGGTTCGATGGGTCGCGGAAAATTCCTCCAGGTCGGCTCCTAACTACAAGGACCGTTATACACATGTTTTAGCCGACCTTTCGGAAATACCGAGTTTATGACCTGGTCGGTTATTAAGACGAACGAAACGAAATTCTAAAGCTATTGTGTAAAAACTCGAAATGATTAAAAATACCTTTACTATCGCGAAGGCACAAATTGCCGGTTATAGAAAAAATAAGACTCTGAAACTATTAACGAAAACTAAACACGAAAATAAACTGTCTGTCACGTCCATGTCATAAACTAACCTTCGAGAATCTTTAATTACAGTGTTCCGTATCGGACGGAACAGCCACTACCAACATATCGAGAGGAATTTATCAGGGAAGTGTTAATAAAATTCCATGCGAGTTTCGTAATCACAACAGCCACTCGACGAAAGTTGTTCAGAATGCATTGACCCGCAATTAATTGGAGCAGGTTCTCGAAATTTCCTGAAACGAGATTGACGGTACGCGAACGGTCATGTTTCGCATAATACACAACATATAATCAAAAACAATTGAACGTATATATAAAGTACACACAATCGATGGAACAAAATTACTTCAAGCTCAGGAACGTTAAACGTGTGTGAAACATCTCGGTGCCCCAGAATGCGCGTATACCCTCGTAATTTATGAAAATAATTTTCCCCGGGAAAATTTTATCATTGACTTCCCTCAAACAATCCCTTCCCCATCCTTTGCCATCCTGTGTTTCCACTGTCGCGTTTCACGGATGAATTATGTTTTTATTAATTATCGAATCCCGCATCTCGATCCGGCTGGAAATTTATACGAGGAGGCAGCTGGATACAAATTGGTACGGGCTGAAGGGAAAAAAGGGCACACGGCCGGTTAAATATTCAAAAAATGCCGATCAAATATTCATGAGTGTAAAGGTGAATTTACCTGACCATCAAACACGTTTTTACGCCCACCGAATTTTCCCTGCGTCGTTTTTTGTTCTTTTTTTTCTTTTTTTTTTCATTGTTTTGTTTCGCCGTTATTACTCTCGCGATGAATAATTGTTATTTTTAGCTTTCCATTCGTCGAGGTCATCGCTTACGATATCTTTTTTTTTTTTCATTCCGGTTCAGAAACTTTTTATTTTTGATATTTCGTTCGATATGTATACGCGATGAGTTATTTTATTTCACGAATAAACAAAGTCAACAGTCCTTGCAAGCAGCGTTTAACTGAAACTTTCGAGTGTTACTGAAAAAAGAACCGGTAATTTATTTTAACCGAACTGGCCGAATTAATCCGGAAACCCGCGCAGAGTGTTTCTACTTATTCTTTCTTTTGTGCTTTACGCTTGTCGCGGAAAAGTGCGCGAATTTCTTGCTAATTGTAAATTTCGTTCTTTCCGTGGCTACCTACTCGATCTATTAATTTCTTGATGTTGCAAAGATACGCGGAATTTTAAAAGTTGTGCTAACTCTGCAAACACCGCAAACAAACGTAATTAAAATTTTTGCACAATTTTTGCATCCAA